ACCAAATTTGCTGTTTGTCTTTACGTTGAACAGTATTAACGACACGATCACGAACTGGTGCAGAAGGTAATGTCAAATAATACAACCCCCCTATCCGTTTACCATGCCCAATCACCTCGTGAGTCTTGAGATCCTGAAAAGAGCAATGGGTAGGATAGAAAGTAGCAGAAGCATTAAGTGTATCAAGTAAGCGACCAACAGATAACAAGTTACAATGGATATTGGGAACTAATAACGCACGAGACAAGGACAGAGTTGGGGTGAGAGAAATGGTGCCCTCGCCAGTAATTGGAGAGGGCAAACCATTAGCACTAGTTATGTATGGGTCACGGGTGTTACTAGACAACTCATCAAAAAATTTAGCATCATAAGTCATATGATTAGAAGCACCAGTGTCAATTATCCAAGTATTAGAGCCAGTACCTGGAATAGAGTCAAGAACACGCAAATTTGCAGAAGCAACAGCAGCACCAACAATGGATTTATCACCTATGATTGTAGCAGAAACTCAACAAATCAAGCAGAGTATATAACAGAACACAGCACAGACACAAATATGGAGACACAAAGATGGCAGATGCCCGAAGATAACAGAGGCACAAACACAGTAGAGGCAGATGCACGAACACAGTAGAGGCACACAGTAGAGGCACGAACACGACAGAGCACACAGCGGAACACGGCAAATGCACAGACACAAGAACCCTAAAAGAAATTAGGGCACACAGTAGAACACGGGTGGGCACAACACACACAGGTCACCAGAAAGTCGGCTCTGATGCCAAGTCAAACAATATGGGTAGAATATTTTCAGATATATTTCATTCTCCGAAAGGAGGTATATATAATACAAGATGCAAACCCTAGTAGAAATAAACTAGGAAAATAAGTGGTATCCTAATTACATATATCTATACAAAAAGAAATAAATAAAACAATATCCTAATAGAATAGGGAGATCTCGCTAACAAAAAGTCCTGATAATAATCAAATTGGATTAGTATAGTCAAGATCAAGACTCAAAGGGCTCGTTTGGTACACCGTATTAGACTTTGGATAGGAGTAAATAGTCTATGTCAGGTGTTTGGTGTCAGCTTGTATTATTTAATTACCCGACTATTTTATACTTGTTGGGCTTTTAATACTCTTCTTACCTGACTAACTAATACAACCCACACACCCCGGTTTAGATAATACACGCTTGATTATACGGCTAGGAAAAAAGAACACGTTCTACGAAAAAATCAGACGCTCTTTTTATCTTCTTCTCCCTAGGGTTCTTCTCTGCTATCTTCTCCATAAGTTATTTTCTTCACTCTTCTCCAGGTATCCATCTCTCACTCTCTCTCTCTTTCATACTCTCCTCAATATGCTTCTTCTCTATTCTTTATATATTTCAATTTTTTATTACATTTTTGTGGAAATTAGGTTATGAATTTTTCTTTTTTGACATTTTTTTTATTCGAATGTTTTCTTTGTATGTGATATAGTGATTTGATCCCCTTAATTTGTACAATTTCATGATAGTTTTCGGAGTTGGGAAGTTGATGTTTCTCAATTTGCGGAGGCTTGTGGATATGCCGAAGGAGAAGACACATTTGCCTGCTGTGCTACAATCTCTAGGGTGTATAGCTCAGACTGCAATGCCAGTTTTTGAAACAAGAGAGAGAAATTGAAGAGTTTATATTAGAAAAGATTCTAAAATGTGATAATGTATGCCTTTCAAAATCACTGCAACTACACTTTGTGATATATTTTTGATTTTATGACAGGATGACAATTTGTTTTCGTGCATATACTTTTCAGAAATCAGGTGATAGTAAAAATGCGTCGTGGGATGACAAAAGCGAGCTTTGTTTGCTAAAGGTTGGTCAATTTGGAGAGATGTTTGTTTTTGTTTACCATATGGAATCTGGGTTTATTTTATTTTATTTTTCAGTTTCGATCCTCCCCAAGGAATTTAAAAGAATGTTTATGCAAATTTCCCAGGATTTAATTGTGTAATCTAGTGATACTGTTTTGATGTATTACCTTTTCGCCAAATTCCTTATACATTGGATTGTTCTTTCTTTTTTGAACTGTAGATATATGGGATAAAGACATTAGTGAAAAGCTACTTGCCTGTCAAAGATGCTCATGTTCGCCCCGGGCTTGGCATTGATGGTCTGCTGGAAATCTTAAGAAACATACTTTCTTGTGGAGAAATATCAAAAGACATAGAATAAAGGAAATATCAAACCTGTACATTTTTCACTTCTGGTTGATCAATCTACCTCAGTTTGTTGCTTGTAATTTGAGGCGCCAAATTTCATTTGAAGTTTTTGTGATGTACAGTTCAGTTGACAAGGCCATTTGGTGAGAAGATTTCTGAGTCTGTTGACCAATTGAAAACTATAACTAATAGTTTGGTGAAAGGATTAGAACCAAGACTTGACATTGCTGGTGAATTGGCAAAGATGGACTTGTCTATTAATGATCAAATTAAGACACTACGGCTAATTTTGGAGAAAGCAAGTGATGAGAGAACATTCTTGACATTGGATGGTGCTATGAGAAAAGCATTTGTTCTTCTCTTACTTGGGGCGAGGGAGATGTGATTCACTCTTTGATGTAGTTTTGTTTATGAACAACTTTTCATTTTGCTCTTATCACCTTAGTATGTGATCACTTTGAATTATACATTCTTTGGTACTGTTTTTATTAACGTATGCGAGTATGTTGGAATTTTTATGAGATACTACAATTATGATAATATGAAAAAAAATCTTGGCAAAAACAATTGAAAAACAAATCTTGTCATATGAATCTTACCAAAAAAAATTTCGTGTCATTTGAATCTCAATTTCCATTAAAATTATCAAAGATTTTTTATTTATTTTTAAAATAGTCTGATCTGATGTTATCTGGAACATCACCAAACACAGTATAACTTAGTTAGATTATTTATCCGGAACATCACCAAACGCCTTATAATATTATGGATAAATAGTCAGTACTCTCCGGAACATATTAATACTATCCGACGAAAATTAGTCAGTACAGTCCGACATACCAAACGAGCCCAAAAGGTATTTTATGTGGGTGGAAAAATTTCGTTTTTCCTATTGGTGTTCATGTTTCTTTCACATGATGGGACATAAAAAATTTGTAGATCCAAATTGAAATGGTGAAGGCTGCTACTAATATTAAATAAATTATCTTTAGACAAATGTAATCGCATGATGACAAATGCTAATTAATTATGTAAACTTTATTAATCATAAACAACTAAAAACACTAACCCCATCAAATTTTTATTGTTATCATCAAATTTCTAAAAACACTAAACCCTAGGAAGTTCACACCCACATGCGCCAAAGTCTTTTACTCACTTCTATTCTTTATTCAACTTACTAATGGGGTGTAAACTGGTGTTGAGAGAGTACTAGTGTGAAAGGTGGACTTAGGGTTAGGAGACGGAGTGTTCGGTTGAGGAATTTTTTCAAGCAGTTGATCAAACCTTAAAAGGGGCAAATCCAAGTAGGGGAATGCTAGCAACCTTCTCTCTAACTTTCTCCTTTGGATCTTCTCCCTTTTCTACATGACATGTGGCATTTTACTTACACTTAAAACAATGTCATTAATGCATTAGAAAAACTAACTTTTGTTTTCCCAATTTATCCTTATTAAATGTATCCTTTACTTAATCTATTTTTTGTACAAATAGAAAAATAAGACTAGACATTAATACTAATAGAATAATTTTTTTTTTCTGTTGACCCACCAGCCCTCGCTCCCTTTCCTCGCTTACAGCCAGCCACCACACCATTCACTCTCCCCTTTCCTTGCAAATCCAACCCAGCCATACATTACCACTACTCTCCCTTTCCTTCTCTCTCTCTAGCCAACAACCCTTCCCCCATCGTTGATTTCCTTGGCTGTATAAAGAGCTGTAACCACCTCGCCTCGATTTTCGCCCTCCCCTCTGCACATCACGTAAATCTCCAACAGCAACCTTGTCGATCTTCACAGCGAAGACGACTCCCACCCACGCCAATCTTCCCCCACCACCGCAGCTTCGATCCCTGCCGCCCACTTCTTCTTCCCATCCCCTTGAGGTTGGGTTGTGGGTTGTTTTTTCGATTTTTTCATATTTCCTTCTTAGTGTTTTAATTATTCAATTTCTTAAAGCTGATCTTTAAAAAAATGAAATTAGGTGTTTGTTAAACGATTTGATATTTTTTATCAATTGGTTTTTGAAAAATATTATATAATAAAACAATACACAAAGGATAATGCATTTAATAAGGTTAAATTTGGAAAACAAAATGTAGCTTGTGTGAATGCATTAATGGTAGAGAAATGCTAGCAACCTTCTCTCCAACCTTCGCTTTTGGACCTTCTCCCTTCTCCTCATGACAAGTGTCGCTTTCCTTACACTTAAAACAATGTCATTAATTCATCACACAAGTTAGTTTTTGTTTTCCAAGTTTACCCTTTTAAAATGTATTGGCTTCTATATTTCCTTCAATTTATTTAAATTTTGTTACAACTTCTTTAGCACATTATTAAAAATTAAATAATAAAAAAACATAAGAAAAACGTCATTTTTTTTTTAAAAAAAAATAAAGTTCGTTTCATGACATTGTTATCATCTTTATTTTGTTTATAACAAAACACACGTTCTCTTTGGAAATTTTTTCTTTTTATAAAAAACTTCAGTTTTTATTTAATTTTTTAACAAGATGGTAAGAAAGTTGTAAAAAAATTAGCTTGTTATTAAAAAAAATTAATACATTTAATAAGGGTAAACTTGGAAAACAAAAACTAGTTTGTGTGATGCATTAATGACATTGTTTTAAGTGTAAGGAAAGTGACACTTGTCATGAGAAGAAGGGAGAAGGTCCAAAAGAGAAGGTTAGAGAGAAGGTTGCTAGCACTCCCCTTCAAACAAACACGCCATTTCTCTCTCCTATCTCTCCCTTCGCACTGTTGCACCAAATTCAAAACTCACATGTCCTCTGCCTTGACGACGCCGACAAGCTTCATCTCGAGCTTGACTTTCCTGCAGCTCCATCATGACCTTGACTTTTTCATGAGCTTTGTTCTCGGTTTACTAACTGAAATCTTCACGAGTTGTGAAGATCAAACGAAAAGCTTTGGGAAAAGTGTATTTAGTTGGGCCCATAGCTTGGTCCACTCTAGCACTTATTTCATCTCTTGGACCCAATCTTCAGCCGAAAACTCATCAAAAACCCCAACGAGGTCTTGTTTGGGAGTGCTTCTAGAAAGGTTAAAAGCATTTTTTGACAACTAAAAGTGCTTCTGACAGCGTTTGGCATAAAAGTTTATAAGCGCTTCTGGGTTATAAAAGCGCTTTCTGGAGAAGCACCTGATATGTGCTTCTTTAGGAAGCACTCCCAAGTGCTTTTCTAGAAAGCACTTGAATTTTTTTATATGAAAATTCAAGATTTTTCTAATAAAAGCACTTGTTAGAAGCACTTATGAGCAAAAGTACTTCCTAAAGAAGCAGTCCTAAACGAGTCCTTAAAGCTAGTTTGGTATTAATGTTCTTTATAAATAAAAAAATCGTTTCTGCTGTGCTTTTAGTAGTCAAAGTGTTTGGTGAAGTTTTATCAGAAGTGCTTTTAGTGTGTATAATAACTAAAAAAGACATGATAATGAAATTGTTCCTTTTTTTTCTTTCTATTTTTGGCAAAAAGAAAACCAACTATACTTACAATATATATATGCTTTTCCTTAAAAATAAAAATTTAAAAAAAAAACTATCTTATTCTACACATTGCACACAAAAACTATCTCATTTTCTAATCCAATCCACACAATAACATTGTTGCCTCTTTTGCGGTCATTGCTATTTTGTCGTGCTTCTTGGTGATTCTAAAGCTGGATGTTCGTGTTAGAGCTCGTACCAACAAAAACACCAACACAACCGAAACCCAAGCCTCCACTTGTTTGTGTCCAAAAAAACATGTTGTGTGATGTTTCTTCATCTGTACCATGTCTTGTTTTCTACAGTATTCACTCTCTTGTAGTGATTTTTATTCGTACTTACCTACGTGTTGCCTTATACCAGATATCTTTAAATATCTTGCTCCCTGAAAGTCTTCACCAGCTTTTGTTTTGGATTGATACTAGTGTTGGTCATCTTGAGGGTAAGGATGAGGTTACCTGGAGTTTGTGCTAGATTTAAGTTGTGGCTCTTCAACATCACACCAAGGATGGGATTGAGAGCTAGCTTACAAAAGGGCCCCCAACAGTCTACCAGTGCCTGCACTGATTTTAGACTTGGAAAATATATCATATTTGAATTCATGAATATCTACACCAAATCTTCATTTCTTAAATCTTTTGCTTATTTCTCTTTGTTTGATCCATATAGGGATAGATTATAGCCCCAAGGCACAATGATTGAAGTTTTGCATCTTATGGATATGGATGGTTCTCTCCTCTTCCTTCCACATATATTTTAACATATATGTGATGCTCTCTCCAATATGATGGTCGTGAGTGACTCCATTTCCTTATGTTGTCCAAATTACCGAATTTTTTTTTTTTTTGAATTGAAGTGTTGCATTCAATAGACGGCAAAGAAGCCGCTACAAAGCTACAGATCAAGAGGGCCCAACCACAAAGGGAAACAACATGGTGCCCAAGGTTAAAAACCAACCAAATTTAATAAGGGCCAAAAGCAAAACATTGCTAGTGCCAAAGATAAAACAGCTAAAGGTGTAAGACCCGTGTCTTGGGAAAACAAGAACGGTGAGCAATCCCACATCGCTCGGGGAGGGTAAGGTGAAGTGCTTTAAATGTGTGGGCACTTCTCTTCCTAGCACGAGGCCTCCTGAGGCAAGAATTCCCATGCTTGAGCCCGCGGGCAAGATAGTGGATGGGTGAGCCTAGGAACAAAACCCAGCGGGCCGAGGCCCGGGCTGGGACAATATCGTGCTGTGGCAGAATGGGGCCCACCATGTCTTCCCTGTACGAGGCCTTTTGGGAGCTCACTGGCTTCGGAGTCATAAGAACTTCGAAGTTAAGCAAGTTGGGGGCCAGAGCAATCCCAGGATGGGTGACCCACTGGGAAGCTGCTCGTGAGCTCTCAGAAACAAAACCA